GAATTTGTTGCAACGGATGGCGATGTGTTCTGAGAAATCTATCAAATTGGATCTCTCTAAGCAGACTGTGATTATTAGCTTATTGCTGAGAAGCATGTGCATTAAGTTGTTTGTAGCACACTGGTTTCATGTTAACTTAGTTTTTGTTGGTATTAATCACTGCCTGACACCCCCATAGGGGTCCTTACTCTTTTAAGAGAACAGTACAACATCACATTGACAGCTCTTCTCTTAACATAGTTGATGCTTAATATTCTGTCACTAAGTAAAGAGAACCCCCTTCATATTCCTTTCGACGTCTTTTGTTATTGATAAGAAGTGTAGGTGGGGAAATGCATGATTGAACTTTTGGGTTTTGCATGGTCTACTTGATGGTTGATAGCTACTAAAACAATATGAATTGTTGGTATTAAGAGAGCATATTTAGAGCTCTAAACTTTAATCTTCTAGGAGTTGCATCTTATTGAGGTCGACAAGACCCCCCCCCTTTCAACTAATGTTATGCATCTTTATTCTTCTTAATATAAAAGATTTTTATTAAAAATAAAAATAAAATGAGATCCCCCCTTCCTCTTCATCCTGCTCCTAACCCCCCTCCTCTTAAGGAGGTGTAAGCCTCCTTGTGTTTGAGAGGCTTATGCCTCTTGCGTTCTGAACTATGCCTCACGCCTCTAGGTAGTGGAATGCCTCTCGTCATGCCTCCGCATTTTAAAACATTGTTTGAAACCTTAAACCGTAAAGCACCTTTCCATTGTTCTAGTTTTGCATTCAGCATATCTTTTAGTCTTATAAATCAACACTATATCATCATCATCATCAGGAAGCAAAAACAAAAACAACATGGGAGCTCTTCCTATGTAGTTGAGCTAAAAGTTAAAGACCAAGTGCCAACTCTTGGTAAGATCCACTGTGATTGGAAAGTTTCTCTACCCTTCCTAAGTTCATACACTGGTCACTGCCCATTAATGCATGTATCAACCTCCTCCCCCTGAAAAAAAAAGGAAAAAGAAAAGAAAAAATCACCAGGTGGAAAAATATAAATTAATACAATATCAATATAAAATTTAAACTTTGAAAGAAGCAAATCCTGTTAGCTCAATTGGTTAAAGCAACATGTTATTAACAAAAAGGTTGTAGCCTCATTGATCAGAAAAAACAAAAAGGTTGTAGCCTTGTGCATTCAAGTCCTACATAAAAATTCTAAAACCAAAGTTATAATGTACAAGGTCAACTCATAAAGACATGGCAACAAGTCAGGGGAGACACACCTAGGTTCAGGTCAGGCACACCCACAAAATGAGTCTTGTCTGTGAACTGCGCAGACCTTTTAAAACACTAGCTTCCATGTGAACAAGGCTTTCAATCTAGAAACCATATCTGATGGTGAAATATTAATTTGGATGCTGGTTCCATGGGAAAAGAAGCATCCCTGGTGGTGGTTGTGTTGCAAAGTGGAAAGGATGATCTGATGATGAAAGTTTATGTCCCATTAACTTAAAGACTATCTTGAATGATCCAGTGATTTAAAAGGCGTGACTAAGGCGCACAGGCAAAGGCGCATTTCAGGGTATGCACCTCACCTAGGTCCTAGGCGCAGCCCTTTCAAAAGGCGCACGCCTGGGCTAAAGGCGCATGCCTGGTGTGCCTTTTGAAAATTTGACGCTTTTTTGCTTTTTTTGAATATAGTGGCTGGGCCAGGGGCTCCGCCCCCGATCCCTGTGCCACGCCCCTCGAGGCAAGCACAAACAAGTCCACGTTAAGTCTTAAATTCTTAATTTTCACACAAAATAATGATTTTATAGTTTTAATTGCTTTTTAAGAAGACCTTTTATTAGGATGAATGAATGAACAACATTCTTCTTAAAAAACAATTAAAACTATAAAATCATTATTTTTTGTGTGAAAACTAAGAATTTAAGACCTAACGTGGACTTGTTTGGGCTTGCCTCAAGGGGCATGGCACAAAGGCGGCTCGTAGAATCAAGGATGTAATAAGTTTTACATTACATTACCTACTTGAAGTAATGCAATTGAGTGAAAAAAGAGATTAGAGGTTTTACATGCTTGAAAATGTTTATATGTTTGATTTTATTTTTAAATTCTCATTCGAGTATGCTTTACATCTTATGTTTATATATTTTAATTTTAGATAATAGTTTTTTTTAAATATTATTTTAAAATTTAAGTTTATATTTTTTATTAATATTATGTTTAATTTTTTTTTTGAATTTTTGGCTTTTTTTTGAATTTTCTGACAATTTTTTTTGATTTTTTAGTTTTTTTTTTTGTATTTTTGCGCCTTGCTTCGAAAAGGCACTCGCCTCGCCTTGCACCTTTTTTGCGCCTCAGGTGCAAATTGACCCCTGCGCTTATTTTGCGCTTTACACTTTTAAACACTGGAATGATCCTTGAGGCTTGTGTCTGCCAGCATTCTTTTAGTGTATTGTCATCACCATCCTTGATGGTAAGCTTCGTAGTAGTGCAGTTTTACACATGCATGATTGAGAAATTTTATGGTTTTTTTTTGGCATGAGAAGGTTTATATTTGTGCAACCTTTTTTTGGGTGGATGTGTTCGCATTCTATTTATTTATTTATTTTTTCGGGGGGAGTCTGCTCTCATTTCTTTCTATTTTTCTAATATCTATAATCACATTCACATTGGGGTTGAGAAAGAAGGGAAATCTTTAACTTTGCTTCTCAATTGGTTAGAGTATCTAGTTATTAACACAAAGTTATGGTACTGGTTAAAGGCAACAAGAACTCAACTCAACTCATTCCAGCCTTAATCCCAACCATTTACTATTGGGCTACATGAATCCTGTCCTGCCATTATGTTTAATTACTAGCTCCAAGCAACCCACCAAGGTCACAGCCTCACATGGTGAATGCAGACCACCACTGTTGTGATAAGGCAAATGATGGTGATATATTTGATGTTGATAACGATGATCGGTTTCTTTTGTGGACTTTAATAGTATTTGCAATTTATGGGTCATGACATGATAACGAGAAAGGTTTATATTCAAACTTTGACATTGCTTCTCTGTTGCTTGGTTACAGGATTTGCAACGCCTCTATAGCAGGGCTAGTTGTCCCAAGATACAACTGAAGACAATCCAATCATAAGGAGATGCTTTCTGTTGTCATGTGGAATACCTTATTTCAATTTTCAGAGAGATTTTGGGTCGAGTGCACCGGCAATAATTCTTGTTTCTGTTTCTGGATTTTCTAATTAATACACTTATTATTTCATCATCCTATCATCGCTAAGTAGTCTCACTTTTAAAATCCTTTTCTTCTGAAGGGTGACGTTACAAGGTTAGCCAAGATCTTTCCCCAGGGAAAAAGAGAAAAAAGAAGAAAAACAAAATAATAAGAGATGTGAATTGCTAGCTGTGTAACCAATGATAACGTCTCATGCCAATAAAAAAAATAGATGGGCTGAGAGGTCGCCTGTTTACAGTGGGTTGAGGGAACCTGCAGATGAAATAGTCTTAATCATCAAGCCTTGTCCAAGTCTCAGTCGAATGGGGCCGGTTACATGAATCCTGTTTTGCGTTGGTTAGTTCGTTCTATTCACTATTCGATGCCATATCCATTCTTAAATTATGGTCGCATTTGTTTTTGAGAATTTAGTCCTGCCTCCGGTCATGCGATTACGATTAGATTGATTGCAGGATCTTCTATGTTATTATTCGTGGGAAATGTTCCTGATACACGGTGGGATGTGACTCTAAGGCCCATGTGGAAAGCTCTCTATGAGCAACAGATCCCTATTCAGTTATTTGGATGGGTTGCTGGGTCATAAAACCAGAAAGCTAGTCTATTGCCTTGGAGGTTAGCTTTATGGTGTATTATTATTAGTTTATTACTGGAATAACTGACAAAAATGGATTATTGGTGTTCAAATGAGTAGACATCACTTTTGAGTCATAGTTGATTTATCTAAATAAAATTAATTGCGTTCCATGCTTACATGAATTAAATGTTGCCCAGTGCAACCTGGGTGGAATCAGGTAGAATAGTTTTTAAACATGGGATACATTTGCTTTATCAGGTAGCCAGGCATACTATAATATTATTAGGAAACTATGTTTAGGGGAAATTAGAAAAATATCAAATTCTTTTAAAGTAAAATCAAGGTCATTGATACGTCAAACGGTTCAAATCCAAACATTTGAAGAGGTTCCAATGATTTTAAACATTAAAATCCCTCTTAACATAGCTCTCCAATTATTGCACCAAAAAAGTGTTTCCCAGTTTTTTTAGATGCTAGTACTCAACTATATTAGGGGTGCTCAACGGAAACTGGAAAACCAAAAAATTGAATCGAAATGAAAAATCCAATTAATCAAACCAATCAGTTCCATTTCGGTTTAGTGTTTTTTAAAACCCGGTGGTGCCAATTTGATTTCAATTATATCCAATATATATTATATTTTTAACTATTTTTTTATAATATATAATAAATTATATATATATATATATATATTTGTATTTATATTATATCATAAATATAAAAAATTGAAAAACCAAATCAATAAAAATATTGGTGGTACTAGTTTGGCTTCAAAAAAAGGGCCCATTACTTGGTTAACCGAACTTTGAGTACCCTTAAGGTATATCGATGTTTTGAATGATGATGAGGATGAAAGGAAGAGTTTGGATCTGCTGAGTGCTGATCACATTCACCCAGCCACGCATCAGAAATATCGGTTGTACTTTACATCACCAATGTTCTTGATGTGTGATTGGATGAGCGTGGCCAACAATGTGTTGTGGTCAAGAGATCTGGACTCTGAAAGGAAACAACCATTTTGTTCATTTGTGGAAACTGTTCCCCACATTTCTCCTAAAGGGTGGAACATAAGGGTAGGGATCTGCTACCAACATGCTCCCAATCACCACAACCACACATTGGGAACATCTCCCTTGTAGTTCATGGGAAAATGTTCCCAATGTATGACTGTAATGGCTTGTTGGAACAGTGTTAGAGAAGATCTGAATTTTAAACATAATTGTTACCTTTAAGCTATGTTTGGTTTAAAGGAAAAGGTAGGGAAAGAAAGGAAAAAGTAAGAAAACCTATAAGGTTCAAACAATATCAAGAAGGGAAAAAAATTATATATATATGCACGTCTAAGAGAGATGGATAAGATTTTTTGATATAGTGGACTGGATGGATGTATGTAAACCATGGAAAAATAAAAGAGAAACAAAGAGCATGTTAGAGGAGGGCGAGAAGAACAGGAAAAGAATGTCTTGAACCGTTTAACTTCCATTATTGTATATTTTGGAGATCAGAACCTACAATGAGATTGAACCCTTGACTACAAATTTGTAATTTGTTTCTAGTGCCTATTTCTATTGTGGTTTCTTTTATAGTTTTAATTTAAAATAAATATATTTTTTGGGAAAATTATACATAGGTATCACATACTTTGGGGGTAATGATATTTAAGGGCTTCAATGGGAAAAATATACTTATTGACCAATTTTCCCAAGCTTATTTTATTTATCATTAATTTATGTTTGATTTGAAGGGAAATGTAGGAAAACCTATACAAGGCTTGTAAAATTTTTCTTACCTTTCCCTACTTTCTCCTTCAAACCAAACACAGCCTAAATTAACAGGGCCTTAAGTTCAGCACTATTAATCAATTACATTGAGAATTTGAGTGGTTGAATTACAAAATAGCTCATTTTGAATTACTTTTGTGCGATCCTGATAATAAATTCCTTGAGCTGGTTTGAAGGAAACCCAATAAAAAAACAAATGTAAAGGAGAAAAACATAACTCATGAAAATTTTCAGACTTTACCCATTTAATCCACCCATTTGGTGGGTGTGATTTTATTTTGAAAAACAAAAGCAACTGCAACATCACCAAAATTATATTGTTTTTTTTTTTTGATGTATCAATTGTTTTAATAAAATAATTGTAAAAGAGAAAATCATACTTAATGAACATTTTCAGACCTGACCCATTTAGGGGGTGTTTAACAATATGATTAATTTTGTTTTTGAAAACAAAAACTGTCACACCATCAAAAATGTAAAATTGTATTATACTTGCGATGTGGCAATTGACAAACAAAACCAAGCATAGTATGGAAACACCCACCCCCACCCCTTCATATGGCCGGTTGTAAATAGGTTAGAATCGCCCATTGTACCGTCCCATTTTTCTTTCTCACTTTGCGTTTTGTTTTTCTCTGGTATTAATGAACTGGATTGGATCTCTCTCTACTTTTTTTTTAAATGATAGCGATTTCTCTAGATCCTCCCTTTTATCAAACCATTATTGTTACATTGTCTGCTGATTGATGACCGTCGTCACTCGTCAGGGTGCAAATAAGTATATAAAATACGGAGAAGTACGGATACATTCGATGCAGATTTATGAATCACTATAAAAGAAATATTGATCTTTAGCGACAGTCAATTAAAATCGCCTTCTTCCCGCCCTCTTTCTCTCAGTCATCTCTCTTTCGCTCTCTTTCTCTCAGTCATCTCTCTCTCTCTCTGTATCCAATCTCACCTTTTAATTTCTCTCTGTTTTCCACTGGACAACACCAACCGGCGATGCCTAGGTAAATCAAAACCCAAATTGATCAATTCATCATCGGAGAACATCCTGTCCTTTTTTGTTCAGCCACTCTTCAACTCTTCAATCGATATTTTCTCTTCTGAATCAGTAAGTATTCAATTTTGGTATAATGAGGATAATTACTCAATCAACACGAGGTTTTAGAGCCTTTCCTTCTATTTTCTGACAAGTTTTGGTGTTTATATTAATCAGAATCAGTTCAGCCAAACTGTATGCTCAAGTTGATTTCATAAAATATCTAGCTATAGAGTTTAGGTTTGTGATTCTTGTTGTATATCTGATTCTTGCTTTTGTTCCTAAGAGAACCTCTCCCACTCAAATAGGTATGAGCTAGCCCACGTGCCATGTAAGGGTTTGTGAGTTTGTAACTTATTTAAGTTAATGGCCAGACTTGCAGTTCATGTTTGTAGGTCGTGCGGTTATTTTGAAGCCGGAAGCTCTGGTAGAGTCCATGTGTATTGCTTCGACGAAAGTCTGAATCTCGTTCTCATCAGAAAAGATCTCGAGCTCTTCGTACAGGTAAGCTTGTGCTTTGATCAAATAGTGGAAATAGAAATGGAATTTGATGCAATGCAACTTTTCTTTTTCAAAGAGGATCTTTTCAAATTACTATTCCAAGGGCCTATCTGACTCATGGAATTCGAATTGGATTGTATGATTCCATCTCTTAGAATCGAAATTCAGATTTGCAGATCTGTTTGTCCTATGCGCCACAGTTAGAATGTTTATTAGATCTTTTAGATTGACGTCCTGAGGTTGGAATTTTACTACTTCTTTGTCTCCTTTTGAACAATTAAACTTGAATTCAAATAGTAGGTTTACGTTCGGATCGGAAGTAGAAGTGGAATTTGCTCGTTGTAATGCAATGGGTTTCGGGAAGATTCTCAGATAACAATGGTAGACCCTATTTTGTGCAAGTTATTGGGATTGAATTGGAATAGAGTATTAGATTGCTGCAGTGAACTACATAACTAGAATTCCCTTCAATTTCTTTAATCCTTGGTTTCTAATTTTCTACTGTTTTCCTGGCTCTGGTTTAGACAATTACAGGTTTCTGGTTTTGGGGCTTGTCTGCTAGGTTTTCTGTGGTGTTTTATTTGTTTTAAACCATAGACACTTTTATCCCTTCTAAAATTCTTTACCATATAATGTTGATACTTGCCTTGGTTTCATGACAAGATGAACATCAAAAAAGTTTTTCCTCTATTTAGAAAACCTATCAAAATGCTCTTTTTTCTTCTATGTCTCTGGCTTCTTGCTTTGTTCTCTGAATGTTTCTTGCCTCTACATTTTTGGCCCATAATTAAAGATAAATGAAGACATTTTTATGTCAACATTTATGAGGCCCATCCTATGATGTACATGTCTATCGTGCATGCTTTACTATGTCCATTATGGTTCATTGTTGTTGCAGAAAAAACTGGGTTTGAGTGCATATGCCAATGATCCCCAGAAGGCTGCAGCTTGAGAAAGCAGAAGATGTTGTTACTAAAGAGTTGTGTCACAAGACACCTGATGAGAGCGGATTTGGCCCTCCAATGATATTGTGACACATGGCACATCGGAACAACTAGGTGACACCCGGAACCACTTTGGCAACAACTTGCCTTAGCCAAATTGATGGTGTCCCACCAGGCGCGACCTGGTG